TTGGGAAATAATGATGATGTTGGGAAGCACTGTAAAATGCCAACTGTTTAAAATAGCAGATTGGAGGGCATGCCAACTATTTAAATTAGTAGATTGGAGGGCATTCGGCTCTCACAATGCCAAAAGCTGAAACCACTCAGAATGGCAAGCTACTGTTAGCAAGTCAAGAAGAAAATAAGGAGAAGGTGGTGCATGGCAACACTTGCAAAAGTGTGTTAAAAAAAAAAAAAAAAACTCATCTTGGTGATATATATGTTTTATTTGTATTTAGCACAATACACTGAATAAAATAAAGCATGTCCATTAATCTCCAAGAAATTACAAATGTGTACAAAAAAAAAAAAAAAAAAAAAAAAAAGATGGAGCTTTCACAAAGGATGTTCACGTGAAGCCCCATTACTTGGCAAAACTCTAGAAGCGGAAGGCATCGGAGCAGAAGGCATCGGAGCGGGAGGCATTGAAGCTAGAGCATTCCAGGCCTCAATACTGGGTGGAACGCTAGATGACCCAGGAAAAAGGTGCCTCTGGAAGAAAGTCGCAAGCCTGTGACGGTCACTTTGCATTCGACCATTGGATTCTTGCAGCTCATCAAGCTTCCTCTTTATACCCGACGAATAGTTATTTGCAAGCACATGCAAACTTCTATTCTCGTACTTAAGCAGTTTGATCTCTTCCTTAAGACTTTCCACCTCCGCCATCAAGGATTCAACTTGGCGGGAGCGAGCAAGTAGGCGTTGGCCCATGTTGGACACAGAGCCTGCACACTGAACACTGAGAGCGAGGGACTCTTGAACGGCCAACTCGTCGGACCGTCCTGAAAGCAGCCGACTATCTTCAGGAGTGAGGAGGTTCCTAGCTACTATCGTAGCTGTTGTTGCGTCCTTCATCACAGAGTCTTCACCTGTAAGAGGACCGTTAGAAGATAAAAAAGAAGGGCGCCATACATTACCTTGACGGGGCACAACCGGATCGCTGCTGAGACTCAAATCTAAGCAAAGGTTCGATGAGTTAGTCATTTTTCAAAGGTGTTCAAAGAGAAGGGATAAAAAAATTTCAAAGGGTCGGAGACAATTTTTCAAGAATGGGCAATCTTCAGAGTGTGAATGTTGGGGTGATCAATACCGCTATAAAAAGCCAAGGCGACACGACCACCGATTCAAAAATCCAGATTTTCCTGCGTGAAGTTCGGCGACGCGTTCGCAGCTTTTCAGAAAACGCGTTCAACTTTGTCAAAAGATATCTGACAAAGTCGAAAACACGTGGAGGCCATCATCGCGACTACACGTCTTTAGCCGACAAGCGCAAAGTTCGGCAACGCTTTCTCTACTTTTCAGAAAACCGGTGCAACTTTGTCAAAAGTGGCGCTCGTTCAGAAATCGAAGAGGCGTCGCTCAGAAATCGAAGAGGCGTCGTTCAGATATCGAAGAGACGTTTATCGACAAGGGTAAAAGAACAAGACCAACACTTGCTATTAAGAAATCCCTATATACGTCGACCTTCATCTTTTATGGCAAGGCAGACCTGAAGAAAATGCCCAACTCTTCCTCACCTCTGAGGGCGCACTCCCAGCAAAGCCTTTCGAAATACACAACTCTTCTTATTCCTTTGAGAAAACCTATTCAACCTTTGAAGATACCAGATGCCTGGAGTACAGATGACCCAGGAGGAAACGATAGATTGAAGCATGTGCTGATTCATTCACCGCTTCTTCAAAAGCAAAGGTATCTCATATCATCAAGGGCGAAAGCATAGGTATCTCATATCATGCTTTTTCCCTATCTTTTCCTTTGCCCTTGTTCTCACCTGCCAAGACAAAGACAGAGGAAGCAATATGTCGGAACCTCCACTCAAACCAGTTGCCACCAAGAAGTGAAGCACCATTTAAATGCAAAGGTTGCATTCAACTCCTGCATCAGAGGACAAATACTACAAGAGAATATGCTAAACCTGCATAAGGAAATACCACTTCTGCAAATGGAGCAAGTAAGGCAAGTGAAAATGATACATCGAAGCATGTGGAGACAAACACAACAAATATATGTGCTGATTCATTCGCTGCTTCTTCGAAAGCAAAGGTATCTCATATCATGCTTTTTCCCTGTCTTTTCCTTTGTCTTTGTTATTACTCGCATGGCAAAGTGAAAGAGAGCAGTCAGCGGCACTTGGAGTCAGTCTTCCGATCTGGAACCGACTACCTGGAATCTATTCCTGATTGCTTACCTAGTATTGCTCTCGAGTAGTCATCTTCAACGGTTGATACACTGCCAGAGAAGGGACAAGGAAACTTCAATCTTTCCAACCCTCTTCAATACGAATTGGAAAGATTGAACAAAGAAACAGGTCAGCACCTCCACCTCGTACTTGCCTGCCATATCCTGAAACCGCTCGTAGACCTTCGGGGGGAAACCAAAAGAATCCTGCTGCCCAGTTCAAGAGTAGCACAAAGGAAAATCAACGAGCAGAGGTGGCCAGAAGAATCCTCCAGCCCAGTTCAAGATCAAGCCTCAATGGCCCTTGAAGAAATCACAAGTCCGATTCAAAATCAAGTGTTCACCACCCTTGAATCAAATTCAACTCCAGATAAAAGGAGTAAGTTCAAACCTTCGGGGGAGACTAAAAGAATTCTGCTGCCCAGTTCAAGAGTAGCACAAAGGAAAATCAACGATTGGAGGAAACCAGAAAATCTTCCAGTCGAACTCAAGATCAAGCCTCGATGGCCCTTGAAGAAATCTCCAGCCCAGTTCAAGGTTAAGCCTGTGGAAAATCAACGATTGGAGGAAACCAGAAAATCTTCCAGTCGAACTCAAGATCATGCCTCGATGGCCCTTGAAGAAATTTCCAGCCCAATTCAAGATCAAGCCCCGACGGCCCTTGGATCGACATCTACATTAAGGAACTTCAAAACGCATCTCATACACGTGACAAGCACGTGTACGCGACACGCCTTGAAGTGGGGGCATTTGTAGACATCGAAATTTCGGTGAAATGAATGTTGACCAATAATTAAACTTTCAACGCTCACGTGTCACATAAATTTTACATGTAGCGTGTGACTCAACGAAAAATCGAAATAAATTAGAAAAGTCATCAAATAGGACACGTGTCAATACCTGGCAGAAATGATTTATTTCATCTGATTATTTAAATCCAAAAATCAAGTTTTGGAATTCTATAAATAGGAGGCCAAGGCATTCATTTTGGGGGAGGAAGAAGGGAAAAAAGGGGAGAAAGAAAGAAGAGAAATTTACATTACACCAAAACCTTGAAGCCTTGAAACTCTAAAGCTCTCAAGCAAATCCCGAAGGATCAAGAAAGCACTCTTCGTTCTTCGTCAAATCCTCCTTCAAGATCAAGCCCCAACGGCCCTTGAAGAACTTCCACCAACTCAAGATCAAGCCCCGACGGCCCTTGAAGAAAGTGTTCATCGTTCATCATCCGTTCATCCTAAGATCAAGCCCCAACGGCCATTTGGATCAACAACCTCAACAAATCCACGCATCCAATCGTTTCTTCAAGATCAAGCCCAAAAGCCCTTGAAGATCCGCTCATCCATCAACCTTCAAGATCAAGCCCAAAAGCCCTTGAAGATCCGCTCATCCATCAACCTTCAAGATCAAGCCCAAAAGCCCTTGAAGAAATCCATACACCCAATCTTCAAGATCAAGCCCAAAAGCCCTCGAAGATCCGTTCATCAACTGTTCATCCCTAAATCAAGCCCCGACGGCCCTTTGGATCAACAGCTCATCCACAAACCTACACCCTACGAAGATAGAATCAGAGGATCAAATTACAAAGAGATTGTAACCCCAAAATCATTAACACAAAATATATTTTGTACACGTATTCTTGTCTCTTGTTTCAGGAATTTTTCGTGTTTACAAATATTTTATAATATTAATACGAGAATCGAGATTGAACTGTAAAAGGTAACAGATAACCCATAAAGAATTCTTAGCATTTCTCAACTAGCATTACCTTATATAATCAGCGATCGGCCCCATGATTGGTGTGCCAAAGTCCTCATCAAATACAACCTTAAACCTTTGGGCAAAACCAAAGGCAATTAAAAAAATTAATAAAGCACATACCTAAAACGCCCAAAATCTGTGGGCCTAGACGTTAAATAAAAGAAAGAAAGACGTTGGCGTTTGAAAATTTAGAAATGACACTTAGATCAGTTGAGGCGTCCGTCTAGACCGTCTTGGCATCAGCCTATCTCGTCCAGACTCACTTAGATATCTACATAGGTTGAGACTCACTAAAACATAAAATAGATAACCTTAATTTTGTATTTTTTTTTTAATAAATTGTAAGAGACTTGTTAAATACTTAAATAAACACACATTATATGTTTGTTCCCATGTTTTCATTATGTTTCAACACTTCATAATATATGTCATTCTGTTTTATAATTTATGATGTAATTATATATATTTTAAATATAAACAGACATTTATTTACACAAAATATAACAAATTTACTTAAATCTGCCCAGACGCCCACCTAGCCGCCTAGGTGCTATGTTTCAACCCGCCGCCCGATTAGCGCCTAGCGTTTTTTAGAATCTTGATCAGCCATTGAAGTTTAAATTTGTGTGTACAGGGGCTTTGGATGGGAATCGTTTGTGGACTTGTTGTTCAACTAACAGCACTTGTGGTGGCAAACTTACGCACTGATTGGAATAAAGGGGTAAGTTCAGGACACTTCGTTTCACCATGCTAATACATTTTGTCCATTTCAGGCAGCGAAGGCTGCCAATTGTGTTCGGAATACCACGTCAGCCATCGACAGTGCGACATAGGTAATTTTATGAGGCAGATCAAAACAACTATTTTCTTCTGTTTTCGATAGAAATGTATTGTCATGAAAAGAAAAAAAAAACAATTAGAAAATCAGTTAGAAAGGAAAGAACTTCATTTGTGGACTTGTAATGACACTCAGCAAAATTCAATGGCGAGCAAAACTCCCCACAAGTTTTTCTTGTTTCGTGGATCCTAAAATTGAAATAATTGCATTCTACTTTCCTATTTAACATCCAAATAACACAATATTTGTGTTTATACCATACTTCACCGACATTTCTATAATATAGAATTGCACTACAAATCTGAATTACTAAACTCTTGAGTTTCGATTACAAGACAATTATACGAGACACAGAACATGCAATAACATTAGTGTATAGGGTACAATCTGTTTCAAAAAATTGGGGCTGTTTAAAACTTAGCATAGTTATGTCAACTGAAATGCTCGCCGGACCCAAATTTCTCGTAGCAACGTGGAGATCATGAAGCCAATTCAACTTTACTACTGCACACGGACAGATGGTACAGGTGAGACGGGTGGTTCTTCTCCCTTGATGTTTTCTCCAGCTGCACAATCGGGAGAAGGAAGGGGCTGCTTTGTTTCAGTTACGTGATCAGGTGAATGTGGGGGCTGCTGCCCCGCGTTCTCACCGTTCTCGGGATGAAAATTAATGGGGAACTTTGTGACCCTCGGCTTGTCCGCTAAAATGTTTCTCTGAACCCTATCAACCAACACCTTAGAGGGAGGTTCCTCCCTCAGCTGCTCATCATCATAATCATTGTTCACATAGTACCCCACCCTAACAAACTCCTGCCCCAGATAAGAACATGTCAATAGCAGTACCGTGACACCGATGATATCTTCCTCGCGTATTTTTGATGGATCTGGAGGGTCTGCCTGCCATGAGACCAAGACATGCACACGCACACACATAAACAGATAGGATTCAGTTTCACATCGATTTTGGATCCCGAAACAAACTCATGAACTCGGAACAAGGAATCGAGGTAATTACCTGAAAGACGAAACGGTAGTTGCCAACATTGACAGGACCAACAAGCACACTCTCCAACATTTGGTCATAAGTTTCATCTTCAGCAGATCCCACATATATCAGCTTCCATTCCAAGTCTGTAATAAATTGGATAGTATCACATGCCAAAATCATTGACGTTGCAAATAAAATTAGGGTCATTAATCAGTAAAAATTAATGATCCTAATCACTAATCTAAGGGTTAGATTTTCAATCAGTCCTTTAATTTAAAAAAACCCGATCTTTGAAATCTCTAGTTGGGCAAATTATGTTAAGAACCCTAGCTAAATCTCAAGCAAAACAAAACCCAATAAAATTTCCCATAAATTCAGCTAATGCATTAAAAAAATTAAGTTGAAGAATCATGGGTTCGATAAAATTACCGTCTTTGAGGGGAGTCAAGCACTCGTACGAGATTTCAAACTGAAAAGGGCTGAGGAATGCGGCCGGATTGTCCAGAACGGCGACGTTCGTAAGGTTGACGGCACTCATATTCTCGGAGCGAATCAAGACTCCGTTGCTTCCTTGAATGCACCAATCCTAGCCGTCGATTGGATATTCCAAAATTAAATGACCCTAGAACGGATTTTGGGCGATGGAGATGAGCCCGGGGGCTGGCGGCGGAAGGAGGAGAAGGGAAAGAAGGAGGAGGCGGCTTAGATTGTGAGATGTGAAGAATTGGGAATTGGGATTCGCATTTTCCAGTAAACATACTTTAGTACGGGACTTTGGCGGGAAAATTGGTACAGGACTTTGGCGGGAGTTTTCAACTTTGTTAGGATTTTTGCCGATTGGGAATTTGCCGATGTGGGGTCATTGTTCGGGGCTCAGTTTACCCGGCCCGTTAGTTTTTTAACCCGACAACGAACCCAAATCCACCAGTGGGTCAAAGCTTCTTGCTAATTGTTGGGCCCATACTCGACACGTGGACCGGCTCAAATACGAGGGGAAATTTTTTGTGAGGATAGTGAATATTTTCTAATCACATCTATTCATTGTATATTGTATTGTCAATTTTAGTCAAGTATTGTTTTTATTCAATTTTAAATAAAAAATTAAAATGATTTCAGACAGTATAATGTATAATAAACGAATGTAATTGAAGTATCATTTGAGATCCTCATTTGAATTATAGCTCATCTGTTCTAAATTAAAATTAATTTACCTTCTTCTGAATATTGTCTCTCCGTCCTTAGATTTGTCAACTATTATGTCAATTTGAGGTTTAATTTTGTATAATATAATATTTTAAGCTCATTATATCTTTGTTAAGTTTCAATTTCTCGAAATTTTTTCTTACAACTCAAATTATCAAAATTTCGGTCAAATATTTTTGCAAATATATACTATGCCTTAATAGTTATGTGCAAAGCACGTCAGGAAATTAAACTGTGATAAAATTGAACATGAGGATATAAGTGCTTTAAAATAACTGAAATAACTTTTAGAGAACATGTTTTGGAGTTGTAAAAGCATTTAAAGTGGTTCTTGGAAGAAGTTTCAGCTTTTCGATGATTTATTTGAATTTGTACTAAGTATTGATTCCAAAATTATTTTCATAAAAAACGATTTCAATTATTTTAAAAGTATTTCTAAACAAACTCATAATATTTATTGATATAAAATGCTCTAATAGTTGGTTATGTGCGTTGCACATCAGGAAATTAAGCTGTGACAAAATTGATCACGTGGATATAAGCACAACTTAAAAAATTTTGAGGGCTCAAAATAAAATTGAATGTTCACTGGACAAAAGTAGATGCAATGTCCAAAGTTTAAGGAACGTTGCTAAAATTTGGTATCTTCACTCTTATTCATGTATGATCTTGAATTAAAAATTATGAAATTGTTACTAAATTGCATTACAATTGTAATTACATGAAATTTCGAACTTGTGACATGTTTTAATATCTAGACTAAGAGCTAGTCGGTTAACTTTTACAATTCAAATTACGTTATTTCGACTTTTCTATTTTAATTTAATATTCACTTTTACTTTCAATATTATTTTTCAAACACGAGAAAACAATTGTGCGAAGGCAAATCTAAAAACATGTTTTGACTTCATGTTTGTTACCTGGTTTACTGGAAATGTGGAATCACCGTACGACGGGAGGGCACACGGAGCTCGTAAGATTAATAAAATTAAGAAATTAAAAAAAAATAAATTAAAAAAAAAAAGGAAAAAAGAAAAGAAAAGAAAAGAAAAATGAAACATTAGGGAGTGTTTGGCAACGATCCCCGGCTTTAACCTCCACCACCCATACTTGCGGAGAATTGCCGAAAGGGTCAAAAATAAAAATTGAAAAAAAAATTTATATTCCAATTTTGGGGCTGAGTAGCTGTACATATAGCATCGGCACCTCGGCTCAACAAACCCTAGTCTTTTATTCCACACTCTCTCTCTGTGCTTTCTCCATCTGAAGCCCCAACAAAATGGCCTCGCGAAGGCTTTTATCCTCTCTCGCCCGGTCCTCCGTCCGCCGGGCGCCGTCCAAATCTTCGATCTCAACGCCGAACCCGAGGGTCGCATCCCCATCTCCGTCTTCCCGATCCGCTTCTCCCTGCGGCTATCTCCTTAACCGCGTCGCTCAGTACGCGACCGCCGCCGCGGCCGAGCCCCAGACGGTTTCAGCGTCTCCGAAGAGCAAGGATTCCGGGAAGGGAAAAATCACCGACGAATTCACCGGGAAAGGCTCGATCGGGCAGGTGTGCCAGGTGATCGGAGCCGTCGTCGATGTGAGGTTCGAGGAGGGGCTTCCCCCGATCTTGACCGCGCTTGAGGTGCTGGACAACTCGATCCGGTTGGTGCTCGAGGTGGCTCAGCACTTGGGTGAGAGCATGGTCAGGACCATTGCTATGGATGGGACTGAGGGGCTTGTGAGAGGACAGCGCGTGCTCAACACCGGTTCTCCGATCACTGTAATCTATATATTCTTGTTATCCGGTCTATTCTTACTGATTTGATGAGAAATGTTAGGGTTTTAGTGTTCGATGGCAAAATGTTGACTTTGGTGATTGTATTGATAGAAATGAGATGGGTTTTGATTGATTTGTGAATTGGCGTTGGGGTTTTTAGATCTGGGTGTTACTGCTGTTGGTTGATTTATGGTACGCATTTTTGTAGTGTAATTGTCGTTAATTGATTTACACTTGGGGATTCTGCTGTTTAAAGCTTTGATCTTTACTCAGGTACCTTTCAGGGTTCAAAACTTCAAGTAGTGCATTCAATGTTAGCCATTAGAATTACACGCGTCCTCAACAACTAGATTTTCTTCAGATTTTATGTGGACAAATTGTGATCTTTTCGTCGGAGTTTTCCTATTTATCCATTTTAGTTTTTATCATTTAGCATTCTGTTTAGATGTTTTAATGTGCTTATTGTTTTGGTGTTGATTATGGTGTTTAGATTGTCCTTGGATTCTGACTTGGATTTTGGTTTTTATTTGCTATTTTTAGGTTCCTGTTGGAAGGGCTACCCTTGGGCGTATCATGAACGTCATTGGAGAGCCCATTGACCATAGAGGCGATATCAGTAAGAAATTTGTAAAACTTAAAATAAATAATCACTTGATGGTGTTGTGTGGATATTCTGTTGCAATATGTTAATGCATTGCACTCAAGCTTTCTGACAATTTCTGTATGAACGCTCCAACAGGCACCGATCACTTTCTGCCCATTCACAGAGAAGCTCCTGCCTTTGTTGAGCAAGCAACGGAGCAGCAGATCCTTGTTACTGGAATCAAGGTATTAGCATGAACCTTTATTGTCATAACTAATGTAATAGAATTCGATCCTCTTAGTGCTTTTCTTCTCCACTGCCTTTGGATTCTATGTGGTGCTGTGTATGTTTAGTATACTTATGTTATCTGCTTCATATACAGGTCGTCGACCTTCTTGCTCCCTACCAAAGAGGAGGAAAGATTGGGTTGTTCGGTGGTGCTGGTGTTGGAAAAACTGTGCTTATTATGGAACTTATCAACAACGTTGCTAAGGCTCACGGTTGGTTTTTTTAAAATAGCTACATGTTAACGAACTTGTTTGGTTGTTTTTTCCCGTTGGTTTACATATACTTGTTTCTTGGGTCAGGTGGTTTCTCTGTGTTTGCTGGTGTTGGAGAACGTACTCGCGAGGGTAATGACTTGTACAGGGAAATGATTGAGAGTGGTGTCATTAAGCTAGGTGAAAAGCAGGTAGCGACTGCATTTGCATGCCACCCCATTTATATGCATTTGTTACTGTTACTGTTTTCTGGAGGTTGTTCCTTATTTGCCATTCTCCTTTTTGTTTTATGTCAGGCTGACAGCAAATGTGCTCTAGTGTATGGCCAAATGAATGAGCCCCCTGGTGCTCGTGCTCGTGTTGGTTTGACTGGGCTCACTGTGGCTGAACACTTCCGTGATGCTGAAGGGCAAGATGTGCTTCTATTTATTGACAATATTTTCCGATTTACCCAAGTAAGAATTCTTGTTTGGGAACTATTGAAGATTATATGTCATCAGAGATTAGAGTTGCATATTCTTAATGATCTATTTTTTCTCTGATCCATCCTGCAGGCAAACTCAGAGGTGTCTGCTTTGCTTGGTCGTATCCCATCTGCTGTCGGATATCAACCTACTTTAGCTACTGATCTTGGGGGTCTTCAGGAGCGTATCACAACTACCAAGAAGGGTTCCATCACTTCTGTCCAAGCTATTTATGTGCCTGCTGATGACTTGACAGATCCTGCTCCTGCCACTACCTTTGCTCACTTGGATGCCACAACTGTGCTGTCACGACAGGTCTGTCGTGTCTTTATGGACTAATAGTAAAGCAATCTTGTGATGCCATCTTTTACCAACTTTGGTGACGTTTTGAATTGAACAGATCTCTGAGCTTGGTATCTACCCTGCTGTGGATCCTCTTGATTCAACATCTCGTATGCTCTCCCCTCATATTTTGGGTGAGGAACACTACAACACTGCTCGTGGTGTCCAGAAGGTTCTTCAGAACTACAAGAATTTGCAAGATATTATTGCTATTTTGGGGATGGATGAGCTTAGTGAAGATGATAAGTTGACTGTTGCCCGTGCTCGTAAGATCCAACGGTTCTTGAGCCAGCCGTTCCATGTTGCAGAAGTTTTCACTGGTGCCCCTGGAAAATACGTGGAGTTGAAAGAAAGCATTACCTCCTTCCAGGTATCCCCTTTTCTACCTTCCCTCTCTCCAGTTGGCTTGTCTCCATATTATCATCTCAATTACTGCAAATATATCTGATTCCGAATGTGTGATAGTTCCTGTCCAATTTTTTTAAACAATGAATTTTACGTGCAATGTATGAGTATTAACATGAGAATTAACCTGAAAGAGTAGGTAAGCTTAATGAAATTCACTATGATAGGAGACGGTTGTTTATTGAAATAATTTTTTATCTTGATAATCCATTTTTCATGACTAGGAAAAAGTGATATATTCTTAGTTCTTTTGGCTATCCATTCGTGATCAATTCGAAGTGGGGAATTTGCTTGCACGAATGCTTCTATTTTCAATTTAGTTCTTCTTATGTCTTCTCACAAGTAATACCAACGCTTAAAAACGGTGGTTTTAGATTAATGATACAAGGACTTGTGAGGCCAAACTTCATATATTTGTACTTTGTAATTTTGTATTGACAGGGAGTGTTGGACGGAAAGTACGATGACCTTCCAGAACAGTCGTTCTACATGGTTGGAGGTATTGAGGAGGTCATTGCCAAGGCAGAGAAGATTTCCAAGGAGTCTGCTGCTTAATCATCTTTTCTGTTGTTTTATCTTGATAACTGCGAAAACCCGAAATAATTTAGATGCCGCTGGCATTGCCAAGCAAACAGGATTTTCTTTTTTGAGGCAAAACTGTATGAGCATTTCCCGTTTCAGATTTAAGCATATTGCAGCAGGGTGTGAGAGAGAAATGGTGCCAATGGGCCTATCCCCTTCTTTTTTTCTCTTGTTCAATAAGGGGAAGGAAAAGAAAGAGGACGACGCGTGTATATTGTTCTTTTTTTTTTTTAATTTTTTGTTCCTGTTCAAATTTAAAACGTTTGAATTTCGATGCAACTATGATTGTTAAGTTGTAAACCCCCGTCTTTCGTGTTAATTACTTGAAAGTCGAATTTGCTCGTCTTCGTAATGGTATGTCTTTGCGCTCGTCCTTGTTCAATCTTGTTCGTTTGTGGAATGCTTTCAAACGAAAGATTATTGTGCGCTTAAGCGCAGCTCAAAGACAATGCTTTCGTCTTCACAAACTCGATGAATTTAAGCATATGTGAAAATCACTTCCCTTTCCGCCTTAGAATTTTAAAAAATAAAAGAAATAATTAGCAATTCATTCATCTAGTGGTTGCGATCACCTGCTCAATCAGTTATCCTCCTTAAGTCCAGGATATAACAAAATCATGCCACGTGGACTTAGGACTATCCAATTACCAGTCTAACCTCCTCAAACCCTTCCTCGAGCCTTCGAGACGGTTGACTCTTGATTCCTCACCAGCTTTGGCGCCGGCATTGTACGGACCCGGCCACACAATAAAATCCTTGAAGACCCGAATCCCACAGCCATGTCACTTGCAATCTTCCAACCCGCATCGGTGCCCCTCCGCTCCCATGCACACCTTAGCTCCCCCCTCCCTCCGATGTCTATCCTACGCCGCCTCAACCCCCACCACCTAAAACTACGCCGCCACCGCTTCGCCAGCGTTGCCGCCGCCGTACGCCAAGACACCGCGCTCTGGACCCCGGCCCCTCTCTCCGAGATAGAACCGGCCGCAGAGTCGCTCTTCCACGTCCGCGTCGACCTGTCCGACGCCCCCGACCTCGCCTCGTCCCACACGCGAGCCGGCCAGTACCTCCAGCTTCGCGTCCCGGATGAGTCAAAGCCCTCGTTTCTAGCCATCGCGTCGCCTCCATCGTTGGCGGACGCAAAAGGCGTGTTTGAGTTTTTGGTGAAGAGCGTGGCAGGGTCCACGGCGGAGCTTCTGTGCAGGCTCAAGAGAGGGGACGTGGTGGAGCTCAGCCAGGTTATGGGGAAAGGCTTCGACATTGATCGGATCGAACCGCCGGAGAATTACCCTACGGTTCTCATATTCGCCACAGGATCTGGAATCAGGTTAGCAAAAAAAAAAAAAAAAAAAATCGAATTTATGTGATTTCAGATGCATTGGACTTGATTTCTTCGAGTTTTTAAAAGCAATTTGACATGAAACAGCTCTTGAATATGTGCAGTCCAATCCGGTCTCTGATCGAATCGAGGTTTAGCGCCGATAAGAGATCCGCCGTGAAGCTATTTTATGGCGCTAGAAACCTTGACAGAATGGCGTATCAGGTACTTATAAACCATTGAATTCTGTTTATTTATTTATTTATTTTAATTTCCCCAATTCAATTTACGACTGTGATTACCTGTAATGTCTTACAGGATAGATTTAAGGACTGGGAATCTTCAGGTGTTGAGATTGTGCCGGTATTATCACAACCCCATGGCGGTTGGACGGGACAAAGTGGTTATGTGCAGGTAGACCTTCACCCCATGCGCTCTAAGTTTCATTCAAAGTGGTTCCGCTTCTAAGAGCGGAATTAACGCTTTCTGTGGTTATACATTTTCAGGTTGCTTTTTCCAGAGCCAAGCAAATTTATAATCCTCCCTCCACAGCTGCTGTGTTATGCGGGCAGAAGCAAATGACTGAGGTATCCTTACTGTTCTCGTTCACATTTCTTAGTTTGCTTTTGTTGCATTTGTTATCGTTATATTTCAAGTATGAGTGTACTTGTTTATTTGACTATCGGGTTCATATGAGATCATGTGGCTACATGGTAATGAAAACTTATATTCAGCTGAATGTCGTTGTACAACGGTTATGGCCGGACTGGCTGAATCCCTTGTGTCTTTTTGCATGTTCAAAGTCGAACATGGGCTTGAAGATAGATATTGTTCTGTGAATATATAACTTTGAAGTCGGACAAGAACCTATTCTTGAGTCTTGATCTGCGCCAGACAAGGTGCTACCATTGTCTTGTTTACTAGTTTAACACACAGTTTAGGTGTAAATAATTTGTTGCAACACCACCTAATGTAGTCTTTCCCCCGAGGAAAATTTTGTTTGGCCTCTAGGGTTCCTCTTCAATAAGAATTTTGCTCTAGGGTTCTAACTTCTAAGTGTAAGTAGTAAGGATATTTGAAAATGCTGCACGCTTTAATGATCTTGGACCAAGCAATTTTACTTAAGGAAGCAAGGCTGTTTACGAACGTACGTGACACCTGTTTTTGTGTGAAAAAGGTGACATTCATACTTGCATGATGCGTGTAAACAAAGAAAAAAAAAAAGAGCTTGTTCTCAATCTAACCATATATCATCTGCTTAGAAGAATCTGTTGATTATGAAACCAATCTCGGCCGTGGTTTCTGTGGGATTGTTAATCTTCGCTACGTCCATGCAAAGCGAGTCCATTCGTGTAAAACTTATCAAGTTCTCTTGGCATCTGCTAATTTTCTTGTCTATTGTTTCTTTACCCAATAAAGGTTTATCTTCCGGGCCGTCATAGAGTCACTGTTTATGATATAAAATGGCCCGGTTGCCATGTGTTCAATGATCCACCTACCTGGATTAGGATAGCTCTAATGGTTGATGTCCTTGGTGTATGTAAGTTGCGTTACGAGTAGGGTTAGGTTGTTTGGGGTTCTTTTCCCCCTTCGTTACCCAAAACGGCCTGCCTTTATCTGAGTTAGGTATACTGCATCCATCACCTACTGAATTTTTGTACCTTGGTCGATTACACGTAAAGAGAAATGTTGGATAAAAAGACTAACCCCGGGGAGTGAGGGGTCTCGTGTTTCACATAAATGCCGCGTCATTGATTTGTGATGTCTGTCCGTGTGGTAAGTATTGAATGCTAACGATCCTATTTCCATGCGGAGGTAACATTTTGAAATGCTTTTCTTTGCAGGAGGTTACCTCAATTCTTGTAGCAGACGGTGTATCAACTGAAAACATACTGAAGAATTTCTAACCAATCTATCAAAGTAATATTGTTGTATCGTTATTGAGTGACACTACCGATTTGTTCCCCACGGCTGAGGATAAATTATCCCAGCTTGGAAAAAGGAAAATAAAAACAATTTTGGGAGATTCCGACTTGTAAGCATCTATGTTATTTTTTGTCATGTTAAATTTGGTTTGAGATCAGATCAGTCACGCTGGCATCCAGAAAATCATGCACCAAAACCTAATTCGTAAACGGAACAAGTTAAGCAAGGGAAAGGCAACTGAATTTAATGGAGCAAGTATAAGTACAGATGCAGGCAACCGAGAACGCAGTAGTTCAGAGGTGGGAGGTTCCCTGGGAAAGTAAATAAAGTCCAATCCAGTGAAAGCAATAACCGCAAATTAAAGGGACGTCTACTAACTGTTATTATCGGTTGCATTTGCACTAGCATCTTCTATGTGCTTTCCGTTGGGCTCACCTGAACCCCGAGGATGGTTATCTTTTTCCTCTTTTGAGTGGTGGTGACGATGCTTGTGGTGATGATGGCTATGGTGACCACTTCTCTTGTGCTTCAACTGTTTATCAGCCTCGTCGCGGTTGTCATCTGATGACTTTCCCAGAGATCTGCTCCTTCTGCCGCGTTTGTGGGAATCAGGATCTGATGATCTTGAATCAACACTATGCGATCGTGATCGCCTATGACGTTTATGGTGTCTTGCGTGCCTTTTCCTTCTAACCTCACCATCCTCATAACTTGACTCAGGGGAAACAGATCTCAAATGCCTTTGGCGTTTGTGGTGCTTAGCATGACCCCTTCGGATTCTTCTCTCGTCCTCATCACTATAAGAACCAGATGATTCTGAGTCTGACCTGGGGTGGCGTTTGTGGTGCCTCGAATGACTTCTCTTCACTGTATCACTATCATCGTCACTGGAAGAATCCGGACCAGAATCTGATCTAGAATCATGATGCCTGTGCTTTTTGTGGCTTCTCTTCTTCCTCTTCCTATCTCCTTCGTAATCACTCTCATACCCATCACTGCTATCATCACTCGAGCCTGAGGAATGTTTCTTTGGCTTTCGCTTGGATTTCTTCTCCTTCCTCATTTCACTGTCACTTGCATCGGAGTGAGTTCGCTTCTTGTGCTTCTTGTGAGTTCTTTTACTTGACCTTCTTCTCCCATCACTTCTGTCAGTGTCGCTATCGCTATCAGACTCTGACGCAGATCTTCTCTTATGCTTTGAAGATTTCAGCTTCTTCTCTTTGGCTTCGGCATCAGCTTTTGCCTTAGCAGCAGCTTCTAGTTTCTGCTCCCATTTCAGTGGGGCTTCTTTCTTCTCCAAAGCTCTTTTCTTTTTCTCCTCAACCAGCTGCATGAACCTCCTGGTGTCCATTTAGATATAAAAACCAGGACAATATCTGCATGTTGGTACGACGATGACCGGAAGTGCATCTCAAAGAAGAGAAACAAAAATGTTAGTTCCTTGACATTTTTATCTTAGCATCGCATATACAGAAGACAAATACTAAATGCACATCAATCAGTTATTTAAGATCAACCTACGAGTTTACAAAAAAGAACCCTAATCATAATGTTCTCTTTCCCTACAAAGTTCCAGGTATCACAAGTCGGTCATATCTGCCCTCTTCCATTCACACATCTTACGTTCCATTGTTTTTAAGCCTCGTAAACCAAACATTCCAAATCAGTCCTACACCAAGTATCTGACAATCGTTCCCCGACTAAGAAGTTAAAACAACAAAAGTTTACAAACAAAACAAAAGAATGCAAATCCATTCGGCCAAGAATAATATCCGCAACATGAAGTATGAAAATTCTCACATCAATAAAGAAACGGAACAAAAATCTGGAAATTCAATTCAGATTTCTTACCTTATATGGAGCAAACAACAGCTCTACAGACCAAAAGTCCAGCCTCAAGACCTTAAAGCTACAACTCTCCTTCCAAACAAGCCTGCAAGTGCAAGCTAATGCTTTATTGTCAGATATCAAAAAACCCTAATAAAATTTTCAATTCTTTGCATCACAATGAATTGAAATATTTACGAGCACGCAATTTACTTTCTATAACTAAAGTTATCTTCATTTTCTCAGTAACCAAACAAAAACTCCGAATGAACATACATATAATAAATCCCCTAATCATTAATTAATTAGAAAGTCAGTTTAAGCACATAATATCAAACCTAGAGACCCGCTGAACATTCAAAGACAGAAACTTTAGGATCAAACCCCCAAATTTTACGATAAATAACAGTTCAAAGCAGTCAATGAAACAAAGGAAAACCCTAAATTGACAATAATTGAACGAGTTAACAGGATTAGCAGCAGTTACGTACCTGTAAGAAGCGAGAGAGAGAGAGAGGGAGAGGAAGATCGAAGAGATCGAATTGGTCGACTCAGGAGAGAGAGAGAGAGAGAGATAGAGAGAGAGAGCTCTAGGGCTTGACTTTTGGCCTTGCAGAAACGTCTTAGCGTTGGGGGCTGTCGGTTGGTGGGTGTATAAATAGATAGAGAGGGACGCACACGGAGCACGGCACAAGGCACACCCACTTTAATTACTCGGGTGAAAGGACTATAATGCCCCCTCTTTCTTACTGTGGAAAACTCCCCAATTTTCTTTTTAGAGAAAGTCTGTTCCTATATTTTTCAGCAAATAAAATGAAATTTAATTTTAATATCTAAATTGCTGAAATAAAAGGAACGTAATTTATTAAATATTTATTTTGGTAAAATTTTTTAAGAATATTTTTAAAATCTGATATTAGCATAACTCTTTATTTTAGTTGTCAAGATTTAAAATCAAATGAAAATGGTTCTGAGTTTATTACTATCAATTATTTTGGTAATTCTGTGAAAATTTTGTTAAATGATCAAAATGATTGACGATAGACAAAGTTATAAACCACTTCGATTTCAAATCTTAAAGATTAAAGTTAAGAGTTATGCTAATTTTAAATATTATTATGAGTAAAACGCTGAAATTTTATTTTAAATATATTCCAACGAGAAAATAAGGAAATTTCTAATTTTCCCGTTTGCTTTGTGAGGAAGGAAAATAAAAAGACCGACTTGGTCAATTTCACTCGTTAAAACTCTCGACTCTCTCTCTTCTTCGTCTTCAATTTTTTCTTTGAATTCATCGATTCGATTCCAAAACCCAAAAGATGGCGTCTTCCGCCTCCGGCACCGCTACTAACGTCATGCTCGCCATCTTCGAGAAGAAGACGACCCAAATCGACCTCTACCGCCCTCTCCGCAACTACATAGCCTTCAACTACTCCGAGCGCGAAGCCCAGAACCTAGAAGACGACCTCCAAACCGTCAAACAGCTCCGCTCCGACGTCGAGCGCCAACCCGACCCGTCGCTCACCACCCGCCGCGACCTCCTTCAAAATTACTTCAAAGCCCTCTGCCTCGTCGAGACCCGCTTCCCCATCTCGCCGGACAAGGATCACATCAACACCGTCACCTTCGTCTGGCACGACGCCTTCAAGAACAAGCAGAAGGCTTCCCAGCAGAACATCCACCTGGAAAAGGCTGCCGTTTTGTTCAATTTGGGCGCCGTGCACAGTCAGATTGGGCTCTCCTACGATCGCGCTACCGTCGACGGTCGCCGGCAGGCGTCGCACGCGTTCATTGCCGCGGCTGGGGCGTTCGCGTTTCTGCGGGACAACGCGGCGACCAAGGCGTCGATTGGGACCTCGACGACGGTGGATTTGTCGGTGGAGTGCGCTGGGATGCTGGAGAGGCTGATGCTGGCGCAGGCCCAAGAGTGCGTCTTTGAGAATACTATTGCCAAAGGGAGCACGCCAGGTGTTTGTGCCAAGATCTCGAGGCAGGTGAGTGTTGTATTTTGCTTGTTTGATTGATTACATATTGGGTGTTAATAGTGTAGCTAGAACTTCATATTGCTTGATTGATTAAATTGAGGCTGTGGGTGTGTTTGAGTAAAGTGACTCTGCTATGAAAATGTTAATTGTTTTCATTTATTTTATAAGTTGTGGTAGCAGAGAGGAAATGGATCATATGGCTGTGGGGAAGCTGATTGCTTTCGGTATTCTGTTCGCAAGTCGGGGATTTTTCCTGACTTTCAACAAATACCATATAAACTATATTGCACCAAAGACTACATTAATACTCACGGAATTGCACATTTAGTTGCCTCTGGACTACTGTGTTTTTTGGGTTTCCCTTGAATCCTAAATGGTAGAGAAATAATGATTCCATACCAGTTTTAGTGACTCACTTGGTTTTGTTGTGAATTGATTTGAGACGCATGTGGTTACAGGTTGGGCTGTATTACGAGGAAGCTTTAGCGACATGTAATGCTCCGCCCTTGTACCAGCATTTTGACAGGGCCTGGATATCACACATGCAGTTAAAGGCAGCTCTCTTTTATGCAGAAGCTTGCTATAGGTATGGTATAGAGCTCCATGAGAAAGAAGAGATTGCAGAAGAAATTGCACGGTTAAAGAGTGGGATTAGTGCTTTGTCTGAGGCTAAGAAAAACACAAAGGGGGCTGCTGCACAGATTCTGGACGCAATTAGTAAGTTAGATGTCCATTTGAACCGTAACCTGGAGAGGGCTGTAAAGGAGAATGATAGAGTTTATCTCATGAGGGTTCCTTCCCCTGATTCCTTACCACCTCTTCCAGCATTTTCCATGGTGAAGCCTTTGGCAATGAGTGAGGTCCTGGATGCGAGCAAGGAGAAGATGTTTGCTAGTCTTGTTCCAGACAGTAGTGCAAAAGCTCTTTCCAGGTACACTGAAATGGTTGATGACATTATCAGAACACAAGCAGAAAAGCTACAACAAGCCAGTGAACTGACCAGAGTAAGGCTCAAGGAAATGGACCTTCCGGAGTCTATTCTTGCATTGGAAGGGAATTTTACTCTTCCTACAGATCTTAAAGAAGACGTGGAGGCAGTCCAGATATGTGGAGGCCCTGCTGGTTTGGAAGCTGAGTTACAGCAGCTTAAGGATTTGAAAAGGGTAAACCAGGAAATGCTGGTACAGATTGAGGAACTCTTGCAGAAAGAGGTCAGAGAAGATGCTCAGTTTAGAAGCCAATTTGGAACCCGGTGGACGAGGCCGCAGTCAAGTACTTTGACAAAGAGCTTACAGGATAGGCTAAATAGGTTTGCAGGGAACTTGAAGCAAGCTGCAGATAGTGATGCTCGGATTGAGCGCTCGGTCAGAGAACATTCAGCTCTCATGTCAATCCTTGATCGTCGTCCGGTAATTCTCTTGGAATTCTTCTTGTTCATGTTTCTCAAGTGCCTTCTTATACTTCTTAATTCATTTATTTCATTTTGAATTTTGTATTATTGTTCATTTTAATAAAATTTATATTGCATATGGAACTTTTGTCCATTCAATAGGCGGAAGTGCCCTTGTTTTTCATTTGTCCTCGTTTCTTAACCGATGTTAATAATACATCCCAATTTACCAACAATTGATTTCATCGATTTATTCTTCTCTTCTCTCATTATAATATGTTTATTTTTTCATATTGACATGCTCCTTATTAGTTTTTCATATTGACATGCTCCTGATTCTCTTCCTCCTCTCCCTCTCTCTGAAAGTTCATAAATTAATCAGGCTTAGTATATTTGAGTTATTTATCTCATGTGTGTCGGTGTCACACCTTTCTAAATGGTTTTATGTTCTTTCTTCTCGCAGATTGAATCTGCCCTCCCAACTCTGGCTAGGCCAATAATGTCTTTGGATGCCAATGAAGATGCTATTTTGGGGGCCCTGAAGCAGAGCTTGGTAACTTTTTTACCCCCCTTTTTGCATCATCTGTAGAAGGGTTACATGAATAACTCATATGGTTATTCCTGTGTATTTTTATGGATTTATGTCTTATGATGCGCCTTTTCTTTTCTTAAGGTCTGATTGTGGTGAAACTTGTCTACGATTATAATCCCATGACTGTGCAGTGGTTCATCTAATATTTATCTGAATGTAGGCATAATGCTGTATCAATTTTATTATATATTAGTTTCGTGTGTGTTTGTAAATTTGATTACTCATATGAAGCTCCCCCCCCCTCCAAAAAAAAAAGAAAAAAACCCACACACAAGCACATATTTATATAAACTCATACATAGTTTTCCCGTTGCATTGTACCGGAGAAAGGATCAAACTTCTTTTCTAAACTTCTAACGTGAGTGGTTTGGTCATTGCTAGTATTATTACTTTTACATTTTTAACCGTCTATGCTCAATGCAGAGGCAACTGGAAACCCTTGGTGCTCAACGAGCTGGTCTTGAAGACATGCTTAAAGAGATGAAAAGAAAGGTGTGTTGATTATTTGATTGTTGGATGCAACTTTTTGAGAATATCTTTTTGTTCAAGCAACACTTCATGATGAGCTTTGTCAATTGTTAATGATGCCTTCGTTTTTTAGTTTAGTGCTTTGTGTGCTTATTATTTTTATGTGGCCTCAGGATGATATACTCCCTAAGTTGATGACATCAACTGGCTCCTATGAGGATCTTTTCAGGAAGGAGATATCTAAGTATGATCTTATAAGTGAAGACATTGCCCATAATATTGAGGCACAAGAACAATTATTGCAGCAAATCCAGGTCTGTTTCCTTTTTATTGTTGTTGGACTTTCTTTATGCATATTTCTTCATTTTTTCCCCACATCTATTTTGAGTGTGCAATTGGTAATGTCGTACATTGAGCAGTACCTATCATTTTAATATGCAACTAGATTGACTGGACGATATTCTTGTCGTATCAAAACCTTTGGTTTTGTACATTTTTGCGCTACTTATTTTTAACTTACCAAAGAGCAAGTCAGTATATTGTGGTTTAAGATATAACTGAATAGACAACATTCTGATGGAATCAACACCTTTGGTTTTGCACATTTTTGTTCTATTTATTGGTAACTTTCAAAGACCAAATTGGATATATTGTGGGTAGAGGGATAAGGTTAAATAATATGCGGTGTGGCGTACTCTGTGGCTTAATTCTCTTCATCATCTTGGAAGAGGTCTGATGAGAAAATATATGCTATACTGGTACTACCCTATTATTCTTTTTTGTTAAAAGAAATGAAATGCCTTTGTCAAATCAAGTCAGTTGCCACTTGCCATATTATCATTTGCTTACTAAGGAGCTGTCTGTCATTTCATGTTTTGTAGATTCATCCTGTAGTATTTTCTATGAGTTTTGAAAATTCCTTTCCTTGTATAATATTCCTAAATAAATGGAAATGGATTTAAGCTCTCAAATATCTCATGATCAAAATGTGTGTTTGTCATCTGCAGGCCCAAAATGATGAGTTTGCTGCAATCTTCAATCTAGAAGATTATAAAGGTAGGTCTTTTATGCTTTAAATGGTTTGTATGCTTTAAGGTAACACCTATTGATGCATTATTTAGTCGTAGATGTTCATTGGTTGTATTATTCTACCCTTGATGACCTTGATAAATGCTTGGGCCTGTGGGTTGGGTGAGGGTGCACGTCTACCTTTTGGAGTTCACTTATATCTCAATCTGGAAAAAATTGTTTCCTTTACCATGGGACGAGAGACGGTGTAATCTAAAATGTCCAGAATGAGATCTCAACATGTTATTGACCCCGTAACTGATTATCATGTTAACTAGTAAATGAATATATGGCAATTTAGAAACGTTGTCCCCTGATCACTTCGTTGGATAAAAGACAGATTTATGCCTGCAAACAATCTGGAATATTGCTTATTCTGACCCATGTGTAACATGGGTGTTTTACATGCTTATTCAATGATGTTTCTCAAGTTTTTATTTGCTCTTACCTCTTCTGCTCGTCATGATGATATCTCACAATCTATTATTTCAAGCGCCTTTTTTCTCTGTTGGCTGTTTTCATTGTCATATATTGAATATGTTTTAGGGAAGTCCTCCGATTATCTTACGACATAGAATCTATTTCCTTGCTTCTGTCATGCTATCTGTTTGCATATCATAATTAAAGTGGAGTATTCTTATCTTTTTCCTGTTTGTTTCCTTCTCATTTTGTTCCAGCATCTCGTGAGAAATGTTACAAGCAGATTCAAGCTGCCATAGCAAAGTTCCGCGAAATTAAGGAGAACATAAATGAGGGCTTAAAGTTCTATGTTACTCTTCAGGTAATTTTGAATAATGTGCACTTTACTTTATAGCTATTTGAGATCACTATTTTCTTTGTTATGGTTGGATCTCTTCCGGTGTCTGCTGTGACAGCATGCTATCAATCTTCACCTAGTTGTGTTTGAAACTTATTTCCATGACTTCGTGTTCCGGTGGTTGATTGCTTTGTCCGTCTTCAACAGGATGCAATAACGAATGTAAAGCAGCAGTGCAATGACTTTGTGATGACTAGAAACATTCAGTGCAAGGAAATGATTGAAGATGTCCACAAAAAAATGGCAGGCCTCAGTTTCCAGGATACGAAAACCACAGGTGCGTACGACAACAACTATCGTTCTGTGGGACAACCTAGTTCACAACAGCCAACAGATCCTCGTCCTCAAACCCCACCATACTACCATCCTCCTGAGCAGCCAGCAATGGCTGGATATACTCACCCTCCCCACTATAGCTCAACGCAGCAGATGCCATCTCCTTACCATGTGCCACCACAACCTATTAGTCCATACGCGCCTCCTCAAGCTGGTAGTCCATACCCACCTCCTCAAGCTGGTAGTCCATACCCACCTCCACAGACCCAGCAACAGCCACCTGCAAACCATGACTATGGTCAACCTGCTTATCCAGGGTGGCGTGGCCCATACTACAATGCCCATGCACAACAACCTGGATCGCACCCTCGACCTCCTTACACCATTCCAGGTCAATACCGCCCTCCTCAACAGGGTGGCTACTATAAGCAACAATAGCGTAGACCTGGGTACTATTCGCTGTATTACAAAGTGTTGTGAATTTTGTCGTTTGGATGAATTCCCGGTAGAATGAAGATGTAGTGTTTGAGATTGTATAGTCTATATCTCTGGAATATTTCGGGGTGACTGGTTGTTTTACTTGACGCCTTAGGTGAAGGGCACATCTCGTTCAGACTTTGTTTTTTCAGTGTATATCTTGAGCATATTTTGATATATGTAGACGTACAGAAAATAACGAATTCGTGTATTTGAAGTATTTATGGACCAGATTTTGTCATGTTGTCTTGTAATAAGTTCAATTTTATGGGGCTCGGATTGAAGAGTCCGACGGCTTCTTGCTGGCTGCCTGGCATGAAATGGCACTAAAGATGTGTAGCTTGTTATTCTGATCATAAGCGTAAAGTTATGTAAATCGGCCACGTAGACATTATTGAGAAGCCACATTCCGTCCGTAATCAAGAAGTGTTTCACGCGGTTGTAAGATTTATTGGCAACTGAGTAGTCTCCATCTCATTAATAGTTTGATCACGCTTCACAGTGGTTGTAGGATTACTTGAACTCCATGTTGTGGACAAATTGCAAGCTTATCACAGGGCGAGTGCACATAACCCGGGGAAAGAGTGAAGTGGTAGCGCTGCAGAACCATCGACAGAACAATCTTTGTTTGAGTGGTCGCCAAGTCCATGCCTGCACAAATTCGAGGTCCCATTCCAAAAGGTAAGAACGCAGCTATGTTATTCTTAGTAGCTTTAGCAACTCCTTCCGAGAACCGGTCTGGCTTGAAAAGCTCTACATCTTCTCCCCATAATTCAGGGTCATGATGAAGTGCTAGATTTGGAACGATAACTTCAACACCAGCAGGAACTTTGAGCTTTCCCAGCTTAACGTCCCTATCCACGTTCCTTATAATATGAGCAATAGGTGGATATAACCTCAGAGACTCATTGATGATCATGCTCATCTGCATGTAATCGATATCACAAAATTAAAACTTAAAACATATCAACAAGCTAAGCATGCATCACGAGACATATTATTTCATTCATCGATGATATAATATTCATTAATCTTACAGTTTTCAGTTTGCCAAGAGCATCATGATTCGGAATTTGTTTTCCGAACAATTCAAGGACCTCCCTCCTTGCTATGTCTTGCCAATCTGTATGAAGTCCGAGAAGAAAAATAGTCCAAGCGAGCAAAGTTTTTGTTGTTAGTTCTCCAGCAAGGTAAAATGCTTTGCACTCGTCCAACACTTCATCCTCCGAAATCCTCAGCTTATCATCGGTGTCATGGTGAGCCTTTACAAGTAACCCTAGAAAATCAGTCCCAAATTCTCCAGTCAGTCGTGCCTGTTCTTCTCGCTTAACAACGATCTCTATTATGCTCTGGCGTATTCCTTTCTCAAGCTTCTCTGATTCGATATCATTGCGGGTTGGGAAGAACTTACTGCAATATTGATTCTAAGTAACCATCATGGATATATTCTGATTAGAGATTCAAAAGTTAAAGCTAATTATATATATTTTGTTAGATTCCAGCTACAAAACTACACAACCAAGTCTAACAAGATTTGAGACAAATAATCTGAAAGATTTTGAGGATGAAATCAGAGAGAGAGAAAACACACAGAGCACATTTCTGTATCAACTATCATTCTGTATTTCATACTGAGCAGTGTAGCTCGAAGAGTCACATAACTGATAGGAGAGAGAGAGAGAGACATATCCTCAATTCAATCTCAACCAACCATTACAACCTATCTTAAGATCAAGACACTTGTCAAATGATAAGCCCTATGAGACTTAATAAACACATCACAGTTTTACACAATAGCTCAGCCTATGAGCTGAGACATAACACACATAACAACCTTATAATATGTTTTAATCAGCTTAACAACTTACATACTAACACTCCCCTTTAAGTTGTGAACTGATTTCACCCCAAGAAGATTTCTCAAGTAAGTGAACTGCTCCCTTGCCAATGCTTTTGTAAAGATATCTGCTAGTTGCTCCTTAGTAGGACAGTAAATTAAATCAATTACTCCTTGCTGCAATGCTTCCTTTATGAAGTGATATCTTCTGTTTATATGCTTGGTTTTCTGATGAAAGATGAGATTCTTGGTGATGGCTATGGCTGATGTATTGTCACAATTCATTGGTGTTGCAACATTTTGCATTTCACCAAAATCCTCTAGAACAAATCTCAACCAAGTAGCCTGTGCTGTTGCTTCAGAAGCACTGATATACTCTGCTTCAGCTGTAGATAATGCAACACATTGTTGCTTGACCGAAGACCAAGAGAAAATCCCATTTCCAAAAGTAAAAGCATACCCGGATGTGCTTTTCATATCATCTTCTGAGCCACTCCAGTCACTGTCACAGTATCCCATTAAGAGTGTTCCTTCACCTTTCTTTTTTTTCCAAACCGAAGTCAAGAGTTCCTTGAACATATCTCAATATTCTCTTTGCTGTTCCATATTGCTTGTTAGTGGGACAATGCATAAACCGAGCTAAGAGACAAGCATCATACATTATATCAGGTCTAATTGCTGTGAGATACAGCAGACTACCTACAATCTGTCTATACTGAGCTTCATCTGCATTTCCACTTCCATCTTCTTTTCTCAGTTTGTCACTTGGAACCAAAGGAGTACTCACTGGTTTACAATTCTGTAATCTGAATTTCTTCAGAAAAGACATGGCATAATTCCTCTGATGAATGAAGATACACTCCTCAGTTTGGATCACTCCCATTCCAAGAAAGTGGTGTAAAAGACCAAGATCTGTCATCTCATACTTATGCATCATCTCAGCTTTGAAAACATCCATTAATTCTTGACAATTCCCAGTATATATAATATCATCAACATAGATGGATACTATGATCAAATCTGTGTCTCCCTTGTACTTGGTGTACAGAGTTGCCTCACTGATACTTTTCTTAAAACCACAAAGCATAAGATATGAATCTATTTCACCATACCAGGCCCTAGGTGCCTGTTTTAGACCATACAAGGCTTTATGTAATCTGTAAACCTTTTCTTCCTCTCCTTGCACCACAAATCCATCTGGCTGTTCAACATATACTTCCTCTTCTAATACTCCATTCAGAAAAGCTGACTTCACATCTAATTGAAATAACTTCCATTTATTCTTTGCTGCCAGTGCAATCAGAGTTCTAACAGTGTCTAACCTTGCAACAAGTGCAAAAGTCTCATTAAAATCAATTCCAGGCTTTTGTGCATAGCCTTTTGCAACAAGTCTAGCTTTGTTCTTTTGCACTGTTCCATCCAAATTCAGCTTTGTTTTATACACCCATTTTACCCCAATCACAGGCTTATTTGAGGGTCTTCTCACCAACTCCCATGTCTGATTTTTCTCAATCATATTCATCTCATCCCTCATTGCCTTTTTCCAAGCTTCATCCTGTGCAGCTTCATCAAAGGATTCAGGTTCAACAATACATAAGTGACATCTCTCATAGATCTCACTCAGGTTCCTATATCTCAGTGGAGTATTGTCATACTGAGATGAGACCAGTGAGTTACTTGATTCACCAATAGCAGCAACTGGAGAACTTCCAGCTTGAACTTGAGATCCATCAGATCCTTCTTGTTCATGAAATTCAGACAACTCATCAATTCTGTCCAACTCTGAAGATCCAACTGCAGATAAAGGAATACAAACTTCCTTGACTTTGTGTTTCTCCCAGTCCCATCTACCATTCTCATCAAAAATTACATCCCTAGATAACAAGACCTTTTGAGTTAAAGGATTCAGTACCCTATACCCCTTTTCACAGGTACCATATCCAATGAACACACCCATAACACTTGTTTCTTCTAATTTGTGTCTTAGATTCCCTGGAATAAGAGAATAGCAAACTGAACCAAACACTTTCAAGTGTTTAACCCCAGGTTTTCTTCCACTAAATTTCTCAAAAGGTGTAGTATTCTGCACTGCTTTTGTAGGACTCCTGTTTAACAGATACACAGATGTGTTTACTGCTTCACACCAGAGATTGTATGGGAGTTCTTTCTCAAAGATCATGCACTTTGCCATCTCCACAATTGTCCTGTTTTTCCTTTCTGCTACTCCGTTTTGCTGTGGAGAGTATGCAATTGTGAGCTGTCTTTCTATTCCCAAGTCTTCACAGAATTTTCCAAACTTGTTTGAATTGAACTCTCCTCCTCTATCTGTTCTTAGCTTCTTGACAGGATATCCACTTTGAAGCTCAACCATGGTTTTAAATTTCTTAAACACATAGAAAGCCTCAGATTTGTTTCTCAAGAAATATACCCAGCACATTCTTGAATAGTCATCTATAAATGTAATGAAGTATCGATTGCCACTCAAACTTGATGTTTGCATGGGACCACACACATCTGAGTGTATTAGCTCAAGTGGTTTCTTTGCTCTCCACATTGATTCTTTGGGGAATGGTTCCCTGTGATTTTTCCCCAGTGCACAACTTTGACACACAGTTTCACTGTCTTGGATTTCAGGCAGCCCCAAAACCATCTCTTGACTCTGTAACAGTTTGAGACTTCTGAAATTTAAGTGACCAAACCTCTTGTGCCAAATTCTAACACACTCCTGCACATTTGTTCTCAATGCAAGCTCCTTGTTTGTGTTGAGAATTAAAGGAAAACATCTATTTCCTTTCTGCTTCACACTGACCACCAGATTTTGTAAGGATCGATCATCAAACACATCCACTTTATAATCTCCAAATAAAAGAAAATAACCATGCTCAGTCATTTGTCCTACACTTAACAAATTTTCTGCAAGACCAGGTACCAACATCACTTCTTTTATATATCTTCGATCCTTTATGGTTTCAATGATCAGTGTTCCCTTCCCTTCAACTTCAACCAAAACTCCAGTGCCAACTTGGACTTTGGCTTTCACTTTCCTGTCAATATCAACCAGTAGGTCTTCTCTGGATGTCATATGGTTACTACATCCGCTATCTATATACCATTCATCACTTATCTTCCTCACTTCTCCAGAATGATTTGCATAAAACAAATTTCCAGTTTCTTCAACCTGATTAGCAAAGTTCACATGCTGCACAGCCTTGTTCATATTACAATACCTTGCAATATGCCCAATTTTGTTGCACTTGTGACACTTAACTTTGTTTTTTAAGCCAACACTCTCCATAATGAAGTTTATCACAGAACTTACACTTATCCCCAGTGTTGTTTGCCTCATTTTTCACAGTGAATCCACCCTTCCAATCACCCTTGTTACTCCATTGTTTCTCTTTTGGCCTAAAATTCTTGTGATATTTGTTACTGTTTGGCTGACCAGTGAACCTATTAGACTTCGGAACAAATTTCAAACTAGCAAATGCTTTCTCCATACTACTCTCTCCATGTCTATCCAACCTTTGTTCATACCCCTTCAAAATAGCTACAACATCCTGTGCATCTATGGTGTCTAAATCCTTAGTATTCTCTATCACAGCTGCAATACTATCATAGGACTTAGGTAAATTGATTAACAATTTCTGAACAATTCTTTGATTACTCAGATCCTCACCATAGCTCTTCATTTGATTAATCAGATCAAACAATTTAGCAATATACACAGAAAGAGATTCACTATCATTCATGCGAGTGTATTCAAAATCTCGCCTAAGACCTTGAAGTTTCACGGATCTTACTTGTTTATCACCAACGAACTCTTGTTTCAGAATGTCCCACGCAGCCTTCGCACTTTCCTGAGTTGCGATCCTCGGGAAAATTTGATCCGAAACTGCACCTTGAATAATACCCAGTGCTCTAGCATCCTTAACAACATTCTCACGCAGCAGCTTTCTCTCCGCCTCTGTGGGTTCCTCTTCCTTCGCCGGAGCTCTGTACCCACTCTCCACCATATTCCACAGCTCATACGAGCGAAAGATGGTCTTCATTTTGATTTGCCAGAAATCAAAATTCTCGCCATTGAAAACTGGAGCCCGAAGGTCTCCTCCTCCAGATCCTGCCATATTAGACACTCTAATCACTGCAATAAGCTTTTGTTGTGAATCCGAGCTCACCCACAACGCCCAGAAGTTTTAGATCGAACTCGGCTCTGAGGCCATGTTAGATTCCAGCTACAAAACTACACAACCAAGTCTAACAAGATTTGAGACAAATAATCTGAAAGATTTTGAGGATGAAATCAGAGAGAGAGAAAACACACAGAGCACATTTCTGTATCAACTATCATTCTGAATTTCATACTGAGCAGTGTAGCTCGAAGAGTCACATAACTAATAGGAGAGAGAGAGAGAGACATATCCTCAATTCAATCTCAACCAACCATTACAACCTATCTTAAGATCAAGACACTTGTCAAATGATAAGCCCTATGAAACTTAATAAACACATCACAGTTTTACACAATAGCTTAGCCTATGAGCTGAGACATAACACACATAACAACCTTGTAATATGTTCTAATCAGCTTAACAACTTACATACTAACATATTTATAGCTAGTTCTAACACTGTCTGTATATGATAAATATACATATATATACAAGAGAATAATGCTTCTGAAATTTGTAAATCAGTTAAAAGGAAAAACGTATAAATTAACCTCATCCAAGGAAACCGGAGTTTGAGATGATTTATGGATATTAAGTCGCCTAATTTCCTCAACATCTCAAAAATATTCTTCCCTTCTAAGTAGTTGCTCCCAAACGCAGTCCTAGCAATTACTTCTGATGTCAGCAACGTAAATTCTTCAAACACCTCAATCTCTTTGCCTTCGTGACTTTTCCATTTCTCTAGCATCGTCTCAGCACTTGCTATTATTGCTGGAGTCATACTCTGAAAAAACACAATAACATCATGAAGATTGAGAAAGTTTTCAGTTTATAGCATGTTTAATTTGTTTTTTGCCATTCAAAAATATTCAGACACAACTGTTTCTATAAGAAGTTACTTTTAGGCTCTCTCCATGGAAGGTCTGGTTGGCCAGCTTGCGCATTTTTAACCATTTTGCACCTTCTGATCTTGGGAGGCCATCTCCCGACAGCCTCTTTATCATCCCTTGAGCCTTTTGTTTTACAAAAGCTCCATGTCTGTTATTCAGTATCTCTTTGCATAACTCAGGTTCCTTTACAATCAACTGAGCTTGGGAACCATACCATTGAAGAAAAACGTTCCCTGCACGTTGCATGCAAAAATTAACCGTTTGATCCTGTTATGGTACTGAACCACGGGGATCTAAGTGTAATTAGCCCTTTAATTAATAGTATCTAGAGTAACTAATTTGTTACCATATGTCTTGGTCCAGGAGGGAATGTGAGGGTGAACTTGAGAAACTACGTCATGTGAGAAACTCTTGGGCCTGCTCATAGATTCTTGTTTCATGCTGGAGATTTCTTTGGTGTTTCCATGAACAAGTCTGTAAGAAGGACCCTTGATCCCCTGCAAAGCCATCAGCTTCTGTATGCGAGTCGGAATCCACCATATTTTGTGAAAAAGCTTGATGAGAGCTACGAGAACGAACAGACTACTCAACAGACACAGAAACCTAATTGGTGAAGTGATTTCTGGCTTTCTTAACCAGCTCATCATTTTCTCCTTGGCTACAGATTCCCGACCGTCCGAGAGCTCTTTAACTTTCCTGCACTTCGTTGGCATATTATCTATATACTAAAGCTCAGCAGAAAACCACTCTTCATCCTGTGAGAGCGAGCAGTGTTCACCAGCTGGATCTCTGGAATTTTCCTTTGGTTTCTGACACCCATCCAATCCATCTGACTCGCCATTACACCCCCACTAATTCACTCGACCCTCACTTGTCTCTACCCCACTCGGACTCCCCCATCTCCCAACACTGTCACTCTCTCTCTACTCTCTGCCTCTCCCATCTGTCCCCACTCTGCAACTCTCCTTCTCCCTCTCGGCAAAACCGAGAACCACCACCGTATCACCTCCAACACTGATGAGTGAATTTTATATTATATATTTAACCTTATTTTTCGTATATTTTGGTTATTATTTTAGAAGAATTTTGATACTTTGAATTGTATTTTCAATACAGGACTTTCAACTTCTTCTGAAACAAGACATGGTCAAATAGACGAATTTTGGAGTAATTCCAGTTGGAGGACATTCGTAAGTCACTTGGCTTGATCCTATCAAAATATCAGATTTTTTCACCGAGCAGTGATTTTCTGACATTAAAATAAATGAGCAATGCGCAGTGCTGAAATAATTATGTTTTGGGCTTAAATTGCGTTTTTGGAGCCCAAGATGACCTCGGATGAGTCCGTGGCCTTCTGGATATGTGTTCAGAACGTTCTTATCTTTCAAACAAGCTATCCTGGACCGGACTTGGAGGAGATTTGAGGTTAAAACGTGACTGGACAATTTCTGTACGATTGATCCTAACTTAATTAGAACTTTATGTTTTAATATATTTATTATTACTTAGCTTCCTAGTGGAAAGAGGATACTTGGTTGATGGTTCTCAGGGATTGTGCCGCTGGCTTTTAGGAATATACTAGAAAGGTTGCCTGCGCGATGCGGGGTTTAGCAATCGTATGATCGATGTAGATAGTTTTAGATATATATTTACATGTAAAAATATATTTAGACCCTAAGTCTTCAATTTCTTTCACAGTGAAGTCCCTAACATCTTCAAAACCCTGAATAAAAGGCCCAGAATCCGTCCTGTGGAAATTGGCAAATTAGCATAAACAATGCTATTATTTATCCAATCAAAGCCAAACTGAAATGGTGTAGAACTAACACTACAAAATTCGTCAAAGAAACCAAACAATGGGTAGAATGTTTCTAAGATTTATATTTTATACAAAAATAATCTTCTGACAAAGCAAAAACACAAATTAGAAAGGAGAAAATATATAAAATTTGAGTAAAAGGTCACAAACACAGAAGTCATTGAATGGAGATTATTCGAACAGATTTTGTTAAGCAACCACATGGATTATATATGCCAAAGATTAGATGATGGTACACGTCAAGTGATATACTAACTGGAATCTTGAACTTCATGTGACTCAACTATATACAAAATACACCGACAAATATTATATATTTTCCAAACACAAATACAAAAGGGCACGTAAAAGAGTATGTGATATAGCGTACCAAGTTAGTAAAAATATCCTCCGACATAGCCAGCTCAAAAGAAAGAGATTCCTTGACTCACAATGTGTTATAGAGAAACAATTTCTGCATCAATATATCCCCTTATCAATATATCCATTATATCCATGAATTACACTAATTCATAACCATTGAATTGTCATTGTAAATGACCAGTGAATATTTGTTCTTTGTATGTGTGTAGATGAAGAGACTAATCTAAAATTAAACATGTTCAAAATATTTGAGCTTTACCGGATTACCGACGAAACAAAGGGCTCAAAAATAGGATTTCAACTCAGATATGAACTCATATTTGAACTTGAATTAGACTGCTACCTCTTTCTTTGAGCTTTAAGTTGGCAATTAAAGAAAATACTATAAATTTTGAGACACGCAATTCAAATTCTAAACAAAAGGCTAAACTTTCAGACATGCAATCTGAAATTAAGCTTTACCATTAATATTGAAAAATTTTAGTTGTGAAATAATAAACTATAATACATAAAAATAACTTGTTGAAGACCCACATCTACTTATTTCACCCAACAAAATTGTGCGCAAAAAATTCCCTAAAATATCATGCCCTAACATTACAGGCAAAATTAATTGATGTGAAAATAACCTAAAAACTGAGAATTGGGTTTGGAGATATTACCAAATCAACTGAGCTTGGGAACCATACCATTGAAGAAAAACGTTCCCTGCACGTTGCATGCAAAAATTAACCGTTTGATCCTGTTATGGTACTGAACCACGGGGATCTAAGTGTAATTAGCCCTTTAATTAATAGTATCTAGAGTAATTAATTTGTTATCATATGTCTTGGTCCAGGAGTGAATGTGAGGGTGAACTTGAGAAACTACGTCATGTGAGAAACTCTTGGGCCTGCTCATAGATTCTTGTTTCATGCTGGAGATTTCTTTGGTGTTTCCATGAACAAGTCTGTAAGAAGGACCCTTGATCCCCTGCAAAGCCATCAGCTTCTGTATGCGAGTCGGAACCCACCATATTTTGTGAAAAAGCTTGATGAGAGCTACGAGAACGAACAGACTACTCAACAGACACAGAAACCTAATTGGTGAAGTGATTTCTGGCTTTCTTAACCAGCTCATCATTTTCTCCTTGGCTACAGATTCTCGACCGTCCGAGAGCTCTTTAACTTTCCTGCACTTCGTTGGCATATTATCTATATACTAAAGCTCAGCAGAAAACCACTCTTCATCCTGTGAGAGCGAACACTGTTCACCAGCTGGATCTCTGGAATTTTCCTTTGGTTTCTGTCACCCATCCAATCCATCTGACTCACCATTACACCCCCACTCATTCACTCAACCCTCACTTCTCTCTACCCCACTCGGACTCCCCCGTCTCCCAACACTGTCACTCTCTCTCATCCCTCTCTACTCTTTGCCTCTCCCATCTGTCCCCCCACTGCAACTCTCCTTCTCCCTCTCGGCAAAACCGAGAACCACCTTATCACCTCCAAACACCACCAGACTCACCCAAAAATAACATCCCTGGAGCTTTTGCGCTGATTCCAGTTTTTTTACTGATTTCCAAGAAGCGCAGTCTGCGATGCCTGTTCCGTCCTGATTTGAAGAAGATTTCTCAAGCGACTGTAATTTCATGGTAAGTTGGCTTAAAGCAGTTTCAAAATTTGGGATTGTTTGGGATATTTTTAGGTTTTTCTGATTCTTCAAAAAAACCATGGTTAAGAGTAAATTAATTATATTTTAATTTTCATTTAATTTAGGTAACCGTCTCAGTTTTTTGGTTTGAACGCTAGAACCAGTGATCTTTGAAAAAGGTTGGTTCTTGAATATTTTTATTTATATCCTTTTGGTTGTTTGAATAGACTTCCTGAGAATAGGCTCCGGCACTGTACAGCCATTTTAGTCTTTTTTTTTAGCGCGAATCGAATCTTGTTATGCGTTAGATAAATTCCGGTCTTAAGATCAGAAGGAACTGCTATAATGACCATCCCAGAATTTCTCCTTCCTTTATTCGTGCTTGTTGTAATTTTAATTATAATTTTAATCTAAATGAAGCTAAATTGAATATCTGTTTTTGTATACTGTATTTGCTTTGTTAAATTAGTTCTTTTTGGTTGAATTTTTTTATTTGGTTTTGCAGATCAAGGGGGTCAAGCGGTGGAGGAGTGGGTTAATAGTTATGTGTTCTTGATAATTATATGTGTTTATGCCCTCATGATATTGTGAGATATCATGGGCTTGTTTGTGATCTGATTAAATACATAGTATGCTTTTCAGCATTATTACAGGCTTCAGTTTTTTTGGAACTCATGGATAATTAGATTTACTATATTTGTTGATGCATTGAGTAACTTATATGATTTTAGTTTTCATACCCCAGTGAATATGTTATTTACTGCATTCTCCGCCTTATTTTCATTTTAAAAATGAAATTGTTTTTATTTTTTATTTTTTATGAATTAATAATAAATAAGAAACTGAGAATAGAAATTTAGGAAAGAACAACGAGTGTAAATCTACAATCTATATTATTAATTGTATGTAAAATTTAATAAAGTAGCGATTTTCAAATTCATTTTCGGTCATCTACGGTCTAAAATTTAATGGTTTATAAGAAGTTTTGTGCTTGCAAGTTAAGAAGATAGACCAAAGAAGCTGGCAGTGCTTTTTAAATAGTTTGGTGTTACAGAGACTTAAATGCAATGGGTTATTAGTCTCTGACTTCATGATAAGCATATAATATAGCCGCACCTTCTTGTGTCTTTGTGGTTTCACTACTGCCGTGAAACTATAATCTTTTGATAAAAAATAATGTTATGCAGATTAATTTTTTCGATCAAAATTTTAAATTATAAGAAATAAACACGTTTTTCAAAACTTAAGTAATACAACCACGTCATATAATTTATAAAATTTTCTATATGAACAAGGTGAATTTTCTATACGAACAAGTTGTGATGGTGTTTGTTTGTGGTTTACCTTTGTTTATTACTTGGGGCTTTTGAAGGTGTAGGAATGTACAAGTGTTATCTTTTGGCGCGGAATTGGCAGTGTGGGTTGTCGGTCACTTCTGGTTTTTGGGTAGATGCAACTGGTCATCTATTACCCACGCTTCTATTACCCTTTTGGTGGCTTAGATAAGATTGGCCTTAGGATATAATTGGATTGGCAGGAATTGATTAGGCAGGACTTGTAATCTTTTTTTATGGATACATTAAATAACTTACTCTATTGTAGATTCATAATTCATCCGGTTTGCCTCACATTTTGACACAACAAACAACATACTAAACTTCAGTCTCTTTTAATTGGTCATAACATATCTCAACCAGTCCACCAAACAGCCCGTTAAGGTTTTCTCTATTAGCCACTTTTGAGCCTCTTTTGTTTGGGCTTATGTGGAGGACTTTACCTTTAGAGTTAAAAACCGTTTATGATTTTTCATTTAGGTACTATTTTGTAATTGTAACAGTAAAGAACCATTACTCATGTTTTATTTGCATAAGTGACGTCTTTTTTATGTGTGCTGGTTCATTCTGCGGTTTTGTAAGGTGTAATTCGTCCGTTTGGACTTCGTTTTAATAAATATTCATCTTTGACCCAAAAAAAAAAAAAAAAAGTCTCCATCCAAATATAGGGCCAAAAGAAAAATCCATTAAAATGTAGTAATTTTCTGTTCTCTGCACTGATGGCATTTTACCTTTCCCTTCTTCATTCCCTATTCCGTTCACAAAGAATACAACATAAAAACTCAAGGGCAGACAAACAAAACCTAAGCAAAAGTATACTACTTGCAAATATTTCACTCGAAACCAGTACATACATTCATGGTTTATGCTGTGCATAAATTGAGGTACGCACGGCTTGGTGAGAGGAGTAAGGGCCTTTCCGTTCACAAGCAACTGTTCTATGAAATCCACACGTAATGATTTGAACTCGTACAACTGCCGATAACATGGGAACCGGAAAACAAAATTAATAAAAGATCGTTATATTCATCGATAAATAGAGTAAATAATTGTTACATTCCAAGAATAAGATTATCTGAAGTATTCTAATTAACAACTCTTATATTATAACTAACGAAAATAAAGAATGTCTAAATTATGTGAAGCGAGTACCTTTTCTGTCCAATAAAACTTGAAATGCCGATGAAAAGGTTCCAGTATTGTTAGCTGATCTCCTTCTTTGATCTGTGAGAACAAGGTACAGTTTGACCCTTAATCACTTGAATTGGTGAGAGACGATAACATATTTGCTCAATACAAATGAAGGTCAAACCAATCCGTATTTGGGATGTAAGAAAGTATGTGGTTTCTGTTTCTCATTTTATTCTTACGCTGCTAAGTCTTGCGGAATCATATTGAATGCCATAAACTGACACGACGAAGCATATTTGATTTGAATCGAATGCCAAGTAGTACCTAACGAAGGAGATGAAAGGATAAAATAGTCAAGAACAAAGCAAAAGCACTGACAATTCAAATGCACTCAACACCCAGCAGAGTCTATCACACGAGCAAGTTCATATAATCAGTCACTTCTTCAAACTTCACGACGACTTAGATCTACATATTAGCGACAGAAGATGTAAAAGAAAGGTGCTTCGAGAGGACTTACAGTGGACCAACATTGTAGAATATCTACAGTAGCTCTTCGATATGAGGAGTTCACTAATAGAAGATGCAAACAAAGAAAATCAGTATAATCCCGTGGGAAAGAAAGGGCAATGAGCCAGGCTCACTGAAAAATACAGATCACAATAAACCAAAATACATGAAAGAGTAATGAAGCGTACAGTTTACAGCAGCCAGAGATGATGCTAATGACAAAAATCGTTTAGATCTAGCATGCCCCAGTAAAACAGAAATTATAAGGTCAAGAACCGACATATATCATGTTGATCTAAAAACTGTTTGCTGTAGAATATCCCTAACAGATTATTTAAGTGTGCTTAGTCCCCAGTTTCCAACTTAATCTCAACATTGAAGGCACCCAAATACCACATTTATAACGAGAAATGCATTACCCTTAACAGATTATCTAGTTTGTCGAGAATGCTAACAATCTTTTGAGCCTCCTGTGTGGCATTGAGATCAGGATCCTTTAAAGCGGCAGCTTCAAATCCAGAAAGGGCCCTTTCGTAGTTTTCTAGATATCTGTTTACCGGAAACCAGTAACCCAATCTTACAATTGTGCAAAACATGAGACATTGAGCAGTACTAAGGACGCAATCAGGTGGCAGCATGTCTTTCTAAGACTCATGCAACTTATGTTACTTCATACATACTTAACAAAAACAGAAATAGAATACAATTTATCATTGCTGTTTCCTGTTCTCTCCACTTGTATTAGCACGACTCCATCTTAACCTATATAAACGCTGATTTATAGAAAACAAAGACTGACAAATCATCATTGAGAAACTGAGAAACTTATGAGTGATTTCAGACAAAACACAAGGAAAACTGAGATTACAAGAGCACAGTTAAAATATAGGTCTGGATTGGACTGCATTCTTCATCCTTTTCCTGATACACAACATAAAACATTAGAGTATCTTCGAACCGCAGAAGATCCATATGTACAAGAAATGCAATATATATATAAATGAATAGCTCCCCTAAACATGATCGTTGAGACACCCATAACCACAGAAGATCCATCAGCAGGAAACAGATTACTTTACGCACTTACGGCATTTTGGTATGCCTTCAAAGATTGCAGAAGTTTCGAATGGTCCCAAGTTCCAGTCACAAAGAAACTTGTAAGACATGCATTTCCAAGATCGTCTGCCAATAAAGTAAGATAATGTCAGGTAAACAGAATAAGCAATGATCTCCAAAAAAAAAAAAAAAAAAAAAAAAAAAAGCCAAATAAATGAAACGAGAGATTAAAGGAATCAGTTGAAAATATTTATGCATGTACAAGATACCAGTCAAACGTATCATCTAGCAGTCAAACTAAGCCAACCAGAAGCACGCTAGCAAACATCCAAGGCAAATGGCAAAGCGAACTAAGTGTTACAGGCTATACACTTGACATCAAGAGTTATGGCTTCCTTGGCATGTTGAATGCTTTCATCAACAAGTTCTGCCTCATTGTCGGCATCTAGAAAAATGATGAAAATTAGGTAAGCATAATGACGCACACATCATGAAAAACAACAGGCAAAACAAGTTGAGAGATAAAAAGTTGCCTTGAGCCATTTTTCTTTCAAGCATCGAAAGTTGACAAAGTATCTGCTTGTTTGGACCCTGCATCCAAACACAATATACGTATCAATCATAAAACTTACAGTACAATGAATCGGGAGGTCACTGGAATAAAACCACAAAAATGTAATCAAGAATAACCTTGCTTAGTGCAAGAGTAAGCAGTTCTTGGCTGAAGATAGATCTCCCTTCTTCCAAATGCAGTTACCTAAACATAGCCACGCATCTGCAAGAGACGGATTCAACTTAACCTGCACCGTTGTTTAATCTATTTCAGGAACTGAACTGAAAACATTACAGACATGCTCAACTACAGGAAGCCACAATTTTTACCTTTCTCTGTTATTACTACATCTTTATTTATTTATTTTCTTTAAAATTGAAGTCTTTTTAAACTTTTTGTTAGTTTTCTTAAAAATTAAAAGGGTTCGAAGCTCGTCGTTTCTTCAGCCCAAAAAATTGAAGCTTAAAATAAAACGGTGACCCAGGTCGTATCACTATAAACTGGGCCAACTTTGATAAACTAGCCCTGTCTACGAAGTTGGGCTGCAATGTTACCTCAAGTGGACCAAATATGATTTTTTATTTTTATTTTTTTATTTTAGAAAAGCCCAAATATTTTTTATTGGCATAGTAGTTTGAACATTCGCTACATGAATTGTGGATTAAAACTTATTATTATAAAGAGTAGTGCTATATTTAGAGGCATAGCCCACTAATGCATATGCGTATTATCTTTATTAGAAATATGATATAAATAGATTGTAAGAATAGTCTTTTTGAATGCCTATTAAGTACCCCGACGCTTTCGTTGTTTATGATGCAGTCTATGACATTGTTTAGTAATTTCGAGCCACTCCTACACCTTAGTCTGGAATCTTTCACATACGTATAGTACCGCTCAAGCGCTCACTGATATTATATTAAGAACAAACATGCTAATTAACTGATTGATCTGAGTGAGGAAGAATCGATTCAGTGC